AAACTTTTTGTACCACTGTCGCGGAGCTTGTTTCAAGCCATACAAGCTTTTCTTCAATTTGCAAACTAAGTGCTCTTTCTTTTTCACTTCAAAACCCTTAGGCTGATTCATATAAATATCCTCCTGCAAATCACCATGCAAAAATGCAGTTTTAACATCAAGTTGCTCAAGCTCAAGATTCAAACTAGCTGCCAATCCCAGTACCACTCGAATAGAACTCATTTTTACAACTGGAGCAAAAATCTCATCAAAATCGGTGCCTGGTTTCTGAGAAAAACCTTTTACTACCAATCGAGCTTTGTACCTCACTAATTTATCACCATCCTTTTTCAACTTGAACACCCATTTATTCTTTAATGGCCTCTTTCCTGTTGGAAGTTTAACAAGATCATAAGTACCATTCTTTCGCAATGACTCCATCTCTTTTTTCATTGCTTTTAACCAGTGCTCTCTATCCGGAGTAGCCTGCACATCTTGAAAGCTTTCTGGCTCCCCTTCACTGGTAACTAAAATAAAATCTGAACTTGGATACCTGGTAGATGGCCTGCGCTCTCTAGTAGATCTCCTAGGCTGAGACTCTACATCACTTGATGCCGAAGGTAGCTCCCCCTGCTCAACACTCTCAGGTAGAGATGATTGCTCCCCCTACTCAAAACTAATAGCATCTGGCTCATCACCAACTGTAGCTGGCTCATCCATATCCCCAAGTTCTGTTTCTGGCTCATTTTCACCATATGTGGCTCTTTCCTGTGAAATCTCTGTCGGTGTTGAAACATCACACTCAACAGTAACTCGTGTAGTCTTCTCATTTTTCTCAAGGTCTGCTATGGTTTCTTTTTCATGAAAGACCACATCTCTGCTTCTGACTGTCTTTCTCTTTACTGGATCCCATACCCTGTAGCCAAATTTCTCATCACCATATCCTACAAACACACACTGTGTAGCTTTACTGTCAAGCTTTGATCTCTGCTCTTTCGGCACATGCATGAATGCTTTACACCCAAAAATTTTCAAGTGAGAGTATGAAGCATCTTTTCCTGTCCACACTCTTTCTGGAATGTCAAAGCCCAAAGGAACTGATGGTGACCTGTTAAGTAAATAACAAGCTGTGTTGACTGCTTCACCCCAGAATGGCTTTGGTAATTTTGTCAGCCTCAACATACATCTGACTTTTTCCACAATGATGCGATTCATTCTTTCAGCTATACCATTATGCTGCGGTGTTCCAGGTTCTGTCCTCTTATGCCTGATCCCATGCTTTGAGCAATACTCTTCAAAGCTTTTAGATGTGTATTCCCCACCATTATCAGTTCGAATACACTTCAAGGGTAACCCTGTCATCCTTTCAACCATGGCATGAAATTTTTGAAAATATTGTAGTACCTGACTTTTATATTTCAACATATACACCCAAGTCTTACGTGAAGCATCATCAATAAAAGTAACAAAATATCTGCTACCACCTAATGACTCAACCTCAATGGGACCACATACGTCAGAATAAATTAATTTCAATCTATTTTCTTTTCTCTGAAAACTTTTACGAAAAGAAACTCTATGATGCTTACCAAACAAACAATAATCACATGAATCGAGATACATACCTTTGGTCAAGGGAATGAGAGAGTGCCTTGCCAAAACCTGTAACCCTTTTTCACTCATGTGTGCCAGCCTCCTGTGCCACAAGTTTGCTGAAGCATCATTTTCAACGGTATTTATCTGGTTACCGTTCAATTGCATCCATGTCTTATACATTGTGCAACATAGTTTTTCCCTTGCAACTACCATAGATCCTTTGAGAAGCTTCCACTGTCCATTCTTTTGTCGGCTTTCATATCCCTCCTTATCAAGGACATTAATAGCAAGCAAGTTCATTCTCATATCTGGAATGTGTCTGACATCCCTTAAAGTCAACATGCAGCCTGTACTAGTTTGTACACTAATATCACCAATCCCAACAATCTACAACACACTCTTGTTTCCCATCTTGGTACAACCAAAGTCTCCTACTTTGTAAGTTGTAAACAACTCTTTCTTAGGAACACAATGATATGCCGCTCCTGTGTCAACTATCCACTCAATGCCGGGATCACTAACATGATTACAATCACCATGTGTACAAATCAAAGTAACTGAATCACTATCTGAATTCACTGCTGCAACATTGCCATCATCTGAACTCTTGCCTTTCTCATCTTTTCGCTTTTGCTTCAAGATTCTACAATTTTGTTTTATATGACCTGCCTTACCACAATGGAAACACTTCACTTTACCTCTAGATTTGGATCTATGTTTAGACTTACCACGGCCTTTTGAGTCCTGACCTCTGTCGATGTTTCTACCCCTGTTCTCTGTGACCAGAGCTTGATTCCCAGGGTTTACATCTTTTCGTCTCGCTTCTTCATTAAGCATACTGTCCTTTATCATCTCCAATGTCACCTTATAATCAGGAGCTGAATTAAGAACAGTCACAACTAGAGTATTCCAGCTGTCTGGCAATGAACCCAAAAGAAATAATACCTTCATTTCATCATCCATTTTAAGCTTCATAGTAGTCATCCGATTAAATATATCTTGAAAATCACTCAAGTGCTCTGTAACAGATCGTCCATCCCTGTACTGTAAAGTTGCAATCTTTTTAACAAGCATAACTTTATTCATACCTGTTTTTCTCTCATACAATGCTGCCAATTTTTTCCAAACAATGTGAGCATCTGACTCCTGCGCTACATGATGAAACACGCTGATATCAACCCATTTTCTGATTGTAGCCAGCGTCTTTCTACCTAGCTTCTTCCAGCTTTCATCTTTCATATCTGCTGGTTTAGCCGAATCACCTAATACTGGCTCATACAAATCTTTGCAGTATAGATGATCCTCCATCATAGGCTTCCAAATTGAATAATTTGATGCTGTCAATTTTAGCATGGAACCTGTATCACCCTCCATGATCTCAAACAGAATTTACTTCTATCCTGGGTTGCTTCTGTATCGATGTCTCAAAATAACTCTCGCTCTGATACCACTTGTTGCGCCCGAAGCAATAATCACAACAATACAGAAGCAATAGACAACAATCAATAATCAAATGCGCAGGAAAAATAAAGCACACCAAGATTTACGTGAAAAACCCTCCAGTGTAGAGGGAAAAAAAAACCACGGGCCACCAGAAAAATCTTTACTATCAAATAATAGTTATACAAAGTTCTTCTCTAGCTAAAACTAGAGCTAATCAACAACTAGAGAAACAATTGGAGAAATCTCACCAAATAAGTGACTCAACAAATACACCCTGGATTTGTTCCTAGAGAGCTTCAAACCCGATCTTCACCGTTCAGAATGTATAACTCTGAATCATAAACCTCCTGACAAGGTTCCAACTCAATCGGACCACGGATCGACTTCCGTTTAACCAACTCTCCCTTCTCTTTTTTCTCTCTCTGCTTTTCCTGGCTTTTCTTCTTTCTCTACTTGGTTGTTGACACACACATAAAACAACCCCACCTCTTTTTTATTAAGTAGCTAGGGCTCTGTGTAAAATAAAAGATCAAGGCCCATGGCCTTTACTTGGTCTAAAACCACTTACATGGGACTGGACCCCATTTTCCTAACAAAAGGTATATGGGTTTTGGGCAATCTACTGGTTGCAGGTGTTAGTGGTGAAAGGTTTAGGCTAGTGATTTGTGTTTGGTAATGGTGATGGGTGATGGAAATTGTAAGGAATGGTAGGTGATATCATGTGTCTGTTTAGCGACGAGGTTGGTGATGGGTGGTAGCCGAGAGGCTCGGGTCTGGAGAGGCGCTGTGATTTTGGCTCGCTAAATTCTGGCGGTAAGATGGAGTTGTGGCTGTTGTAGTTGGTGGTGGTGATTGATGGATGTAATTTAAAATTTGATCGTTGCGAAAAATGTTCTTAGAATCTGAATTGTTGGGGTCCCTCTTTGTTTTTAGAAATAAGGCTTGAATTGGCTGTTTGGTGTGGGATGTTAGTTGGCTGGCCGCTGGTGGCAATGGCAGAAGAGTTATAGTTTAGTCATGGAAATATGGTGGTGATGGCAATGCTAGAGGAGTTGTAATTTAGTGATGGAACTTTAATGGTGATGTCGGGCTAAGCTGCTCCCCTCGATTGCCTCTTATAAAAATTTGAAAGGAGTCATCGTCCGAGAAAATTTTCGATAAAATTTTATCTTGAATTTTGATTCATCAAGAGTCAATATCAAAATTGGATTTGTTTCTGTTTTTTAGTCTTCCAATTTTCTTTTTTTTTTTCGAAAATATAATGAAATAAATAAATAAAAGAAAAAAAGGAAATAATTAAATTTAATTGGGCTTCGAAATAGAAAGTTTCAAAAAATTGTGATTTAGGTCAAAAAAAATTTTAAATTCATTTCAATTACTAAATAAAAATCCCCAAAATATTTTAAAATTAAAAAATAATTCAAAATATTCCGAACAAAATAGAATATTTACAAATGTCTTTTATCTTGCCTTCTTCCTCTCACAAAATGTTGAGAAGTAGAAGTTTGGCACTAGTCTTTATGTATCTTAGAATATAATAATGGAATGAAAACTTACTTTCAGTTACGTAGGGGTCCTCACTTTCAAAGCAAATTTTTTTCGGGTCAGTCACTTTCAAAGCAATTAGTGTCTTAAAATAGCCATGGACTAACAATAAGAGAAAGAACGAGAGGCAAATAATATATACTAGTAGGCCGCCCACGGCGAGTACAAATTTTTTTTATATATTTTTAATATAATATATATATTTTTATGCTAATATGTAATAAGAAGTTTTTATGTAGAATTAAATTTATGCATTGTCATTTGACAATCAATATAATATCAATAGTTCAAATCTTAATTGAATGAAAATTTATTTGAGAATCAAAGTGAACGATTCTGTCGCTTTCCCTTGGATATATCATGAAACCACTAAATCGATAAATTTTCATCCTAAAGTACAAGGTTTTCAATTTAGTTTTCAATCAAAGAAAAGAAAATCAATGATCAAAATTTAGGTAGGCTAAATAAAATAAAATGAAAGGCAGATCTAGCACTATCAAAATCTTTTCTTCTTAGCTCTATTACTTGAAAGGGTAATTACAGAAGCTTGTTAAAGTTACATAAAAAATATAGTAAAATGGCTATAGATGCAACCAATGTGTAGAAAAATAATTCATTCGATCAAATAGATGCATTTGTGAAATTAGAATCCAATTTTAATCCCATTTCGTTGATTTTTGTAAAGTATGCCTTCTTTCACATTATTAGACATATTTCATTATCCTATAATTGAACACCTAAAAACCACAAGCAATTAGAAATGTAAATGAAATGAAACACTAAAAACTAACAATCATGCAGCAATAAATTTTCAATTATACTTACGTGTGTATGTATCTTATTAGAATTCTTATAAGAAGAAACCAATCTAACCAACACATTTTTTTCCTATTATACTAGTTTTAATTAGATTTTTCAACTTTAATTAAATTATCAAGTCTTTGCTAACAATCAATATATATTCTCTCAGATACAAAGTATAATAAATTTGAATGAGCCAGCCAACTAATATTTCTCTTCTGTTTTTTTCCTAAAGATTTGTAGGCAATTAAACAGCATTCCAGAATCAAGCCCCAAACCATAAAGAAAATTCAGAGAAGGCAAAAACTTGAACAAACAACACAAAATTTTGAACATGCAATCAAAACTTGGCAATGGCAAAGATTGTTGGTGAAACTATCATAATTGTCAATGAAGATAATGGGATTCTTGCTGTTTTTCTTATTATTCAAAACTGAAAAGGTTGAGTTTGATAGAGTAGATGCCAACAATATTATTCCAATAATCCTAGTTCTCTTTTTTAGCCAAAAACCAACCCCTGTAAAACAAAACAAAACAGAAAAAGACCTGTCTTTTGATAATCTATAAAAAAAAAAAAAAAAATCTTAAAAAAGAAAGAGAAAAAAGAGAGACTTGATGGAGGAGAGAGCCTGGACAGGTGAGACAAAGATCAAAGATAGGGGTAAACCAACATGCAGAAGAAGTCATGGAGAAATAGGACTTCTAACTAACCTACCACCTTTAACCAACCCTTCTACAGCCTTTTCTTGAAAATCTTGAACCCTTTGACTTCCATTTAGAGCAAATCCCATAAATTCTAGAGTCTTGACCTACAACAGGGAAAATTTATAGGTGAACACTTATGAACTTAATATGACCATCTCATCCAAGAACATCGTTTTTTCATAAAGAGTATCATGAGAGTGGAGAGGTGTTTGGAAGCTTTTACCATGAAGAGTATCATTGTTTTTTCATTGTTTTTTATCTAAAGGCAGGTATCAAGGGACAGGCGAGTCAACAGCAAAATCTTTCTCCCATATGACCTAAAAGACAAAATGGAAATAATTATTAGTCATATTCCATTTCCAATTAAAAACAAAAAAGGGAGGGAGGGGGGAGAGAAGTAAAAGTTCACTTCAAAACTAGCCTTTTTTAGAGCATCCAAGCACTATCTAGTCAACCTAATGTTTAGAAAATCATCACCGATCTTAATTCCTGCCAATATAAGTAAAACTTTCATGTAAGATTAGCTAATGGATAAATAATAACCAAGATGCATTTTAATGGTCTTTAGATGCCCATTTTAATTTTCTGATGTTTTTAGTTATGTGGATCAAAAGAATCAATCATGCACCAGTCATATGCAGCAATACACTGACCAGGCTTTAGTATTCTGTAAATCTCCTTGTAGAATCCATACTACACAACAGAAATAACAATCAAATCAAATCAAACCAAAACAAATCAAAATATGATAGAAACTTCATAATCCATTCTAGTTGAGATGAAAATAATCATGATTGAGATGGAAAAGCTTTAAACTGACATACAGCATTCAGTGCATGGCAGGTAGCTTCGATTGCATGAACTGCATAAAAACTGTTGTTGGGAAATGGCATCTTCATAAAGTCATCCTACACTAAACAACAACAATAAGAAAATTAGTCGTTGAATGCCTATGCAGTTTTCTTATCAATAATTTTATGACATACAATATTGCACATTTGTGGTTCTCTCATTTTAAACTGCAAACAAATAATCCTATCAATCACTGAAAACCAAGAGACATAAAGATATCATCTTGGAGTCCAAACTCACCACATAAAGAGAGTTTTCAATTCGATCACCACAAAAAACTTTCCTAAGATTTTTCTGCACTATCAAGTATGTGCTCAGGCTGACAATAGGGTAGGGAATAATAAGAATAAGGAAGTAGGAATAAAAAGAATCCTAACCCAAAAAGAGAAAACAGAAAAAATATGAAACTCTTTCTATTCACATTCCATTTTTTTAGGACCCAAACAAAAAATAAGAAAAAAATTAAAATTGAACAAATAGATGTTACGTGTTTGACGGAAGATAGAAAATCCTTGTATGAGAACCACACATTTGAGTTGGTGAAACTGCCTAAGGGCAAGAGAGCATTCAAAAACAAATGGGTGTTCAGGTTCATGAGAAGATTGAACTGACATAAGGTAAGCTCGATGTTTTGGGGAAAACGATTCATAAGATAAGACAAAAATCCTTCAACAGGATAAGAAATTTGAGAGGATCGACGAACCTGAGAGAGGGATCCAGAATTTCAGGAAACAGTTGGAAGGAACGTAACTGGGCTAGACTGCTGATCTCCTAGAGTAATCATCCCCTGGGAAACATAATGTAATCATCGCCAAGAATTTTATAGTAACAAACACATAAGCAATTCGATAAAAACAATGGACAAGATACTAATATTAACTAACCTTTTCTTAATAGCAGGATCATCTTCACTCAAATTCTCGTCATTCATTTCATCATCAATATTTCTACTCACGAAAAATTGTGCTTCTCCTCCGGATTTCCTAAGAAACCAATTGGGAAGGCTTATTTCTACAATGAAATTGAAATAATAAATAAGTACAAACAAAAGAAATGAATGCATGCATGAGATTTTGATCTCCAAACGCCCGTTAGATCCAAGACAAAATATTAGAAAAAAATGAATATAAGAAATTTACATTTTAAAGTAGTAAATACGAGAACTTGTCCAAGAAATTCTAAAACAAAATAAAATTTTCAAGTTTCTTTCTTCCCCTTTTTAGCACATTTTCTTAGTAACGAAATAGACTGTTGACTAATTGAGAAAAATCGAAAATACATAGGACCAAAACCTCAACAAAAGCTTCCAACTTTGTTTAAAATCAAAAAAACAAAAGCAGGATCTTGAAGGAACAACCCAATAACTACAATAAATTTAGAAGGACGAAAAGTTAACAAACAAAAGAAAGGAAAGAGGAAAGCTAACTTTGGGTATCTCGAGACAGGCGTCGTTCTTTACAGCCTCGAATTCGAAAAATAAAGAAAAATTAGAAAAGTTGATTTAAAAATTGAAAGAGAAGCGAAACTCAAGGTAAAACATAGCTGCTGAGCTTAGCTCTAGAGCCTAGCTCAACCCTCCCCGCCTCTCCTTCCTTCTTATCGTTCTCTTTTACTTCAAATTTTTTTTTTTTTTAATTGTTTGTCTTGAGGGATCCAAAAGCTTCAATCTTTATTTTTTTCAATAATGAAACAGATTGAAAAGCTTCAGGGAAGTTTTCTATGAAGGGACAAAAATTACCTCTATTTTTGAATTTTTTTTTTATATTGCTATGCTGTCTCCTTCATTATAAATAGTAGACAACATTTATATTAAGGTATAGATATTGGATCCATTGTTAGTTTATAAATGCTGTATAACGTGAGTAAATTATATAATAATATTTTATAAAAAAATTATTTTTAAATATATTTTTAATATTAAATTTATTTATTTTAAAATTAATTTTTATAAAATTTCATTATATTTTTCATTGACAACATATAACATGTATATATTAAAATATATCAAATATAACCTTTATATATAATTAAGATTTAAATATTGTAGTGCACTCAAGAATGTTAACGTTTTTTTTTTAGTTTAATCACAAGTCCATTCATAAAGTTTGATGATATAAAACTTCAGAAAATAAACTGAACGCTTCAAAATGCGTTGAAAAAGCAATTAATTCATATATATATATATATAATTAAGAAACATCTGATTCAATTATAATTGAAAATAAAATTATATCTCCATGTTCCAAAGAACTGAATTCAAATCCCTCTCTCCAAATCCCAAAGAAAAAAAATCATTAGTTTGAAAGTTAATTGGAAATAAAAACAAGTGATTTCCGTTTTAGTAATTCAAAGCTTAGCATAGAAGTTTAAAACAAGTTAAAAATTTAAAATGATAGCCACCAAGAATGCATCAACAACCATAGGCCATAAAACAAACAGCGATCCGCCTTTCAAAATGCCGCTGTAAACTGGCTGATTGCATAAAAGAATTTAATCAAGCTTTAAATTCGAGAGTTTCTTCCTTCTTTGTGTTCGAAACCGCGTTAATAAAGAATTAACGGGTATTTTTAGATATATTATTAAAAAAAAAATCCACACAATAGGCTAGTTGATTGGAATGGAAGAATTATTACAAATCTATAATTCACGGAAAGATAAAGAAATAAATGGACCAAGTGATTACACGTCTCGATTTCCCGGAAATAGGAAAAAAATAAAAAATTCGTAGTAGGCCGAAATGAATCTTACCTGAGCCTGGCTCATGATCACTTCGAGTCTTTCGACAACTTGTCATCTATCACCTTATAGTTAATGGTAGGACGAAAATGAACCTGACCCAGCCCAGCCCATGATCACTTCAACTACCTGCCCACCTTCAAACTTACTAGTTCTAGACTTCCATGAATAATCAACGTGGATAGCGAGTAGCCTACGGCAATTGAAATTGGGGTCACTGGTAATGAAGAAACAAGAAGCCTAAATTTTACTTTTAACCTTCCTCTTTGCTTAAAATTCTCGAAAACTCCAACCACCTACTGCTTGTTAAAATCGTCAACATCCAAATCCAAATTCCTTTTGCATAGCATTCTGGAGTGGAGTAATCATTGTTTCAGAGATCTTGACTTTGTACGGTTATAGATGGCGTACGTAGACCATGCCTTCTCGATATCCGATGAGGACATCATGATGGACACAGCCTACGCCGTTAACAATCGGCCTCCTTTCAAGGAGATCGGCCTTGCTGTGGCTCTTCTCGTGTTTGGCACGCTTGGGATCATCTTGGGTATCTTTATGGCCTACAACAGAGTCGGCGGTGACCGAGCCCATGGTATTTATCTTGCTTTAAAAAGGACGAAAAAAAAGCTTTATTTCAATTAAGAACAATTAGTAAGTTTGTGGGTAATGATTGTTTCTTTCAGGGCTTTTCTTTGCTATACTGGGATGCATATTGTTCATTCCGGGCTTCTATTATACAAGGATTGCATATTATGCATATAAGGGGTACAAAGGCTTTTCCTTCTCCAACATTCCCCCTGTCTAGAGCCACTGTCCTACTCCTGCTCCGCCATATGTACAGATCTTCTTTCGTTTATCTACTTTCTTTTTGTGTGCTTCATGTTCTGCGCTGTCCCAGTTCTTTTCTTTTTTTTGTATCCCGAATAACTTGACTTTTTGTTTGTTCTGTTTTCATACTAGAATTCTGACCTGCAGTCTCGTTTTTGTGGTTTTTTTATGACAACATATGTAATCTTACTATTCACAGTTTCTTAATACTACTACTTATGTTCCCATTGTTCTTATTTCTTATCACAACTGTTGAATTCAGATACTGCTTGAGGCTTATCTTATACTGAGCAATCATATCGATCTCATGCATTTCAAGGATTCCTTTCTTTCATTCCTATTTTTGCAATGTAATAAGCGAAGGTTGTCATTGTTTGAAAGAATAGATGGAGTGGCGTTGAAGGGTCTGCTCATGTGATTAGTGTATACAATAAGGCAGCAAATTTGTCTTTTGCCCTGTTTTATTGGCACTGTTGTGTGGTTTGTGATATGTGTAGTAACAAGTTACATATATGTACATGTTCACTTAAAAAGGATCAATGTACATGGATCACTTTTTCCATGTGATGCTTTAATGTGAATTCCTTCAGTATCACTAAAAGAAATAAGGCTTTAAGGAATCTCTTGGTTTGTGGAAAAAGTAGGGAGGGCAGGACGCCAATTGGGAAATTATGTTAAATAATTGGAAACAATTGTGCTCTTGAAGGAGCCTAGCCATCACCCAATATTTTTTCAAACATGACGGATGTGAATCTAGTGAGCCCCGAAGGAACTTATAGATTCTAGAAATTTTGAAGGTCATTTGTGAATGGTTTCATCTTTCTATCTTTCTTTCCTTTTTTTTTCCTTTTGTGAAGACATTTTAAAGTTCATTTCTAATTGGTTTCATCTTTCTTTCTTTTTAGCCTTTTTTTTTGTGAAGAAAATGTGATAGATAGTTCCTTGAATTGAAGTAGGAACCTTGTTTCCTTTTGACAATTGTTGGAGATGTATTACCTTCTGAAATTCTTACTGTGTTTCATGAATAGATAGTAAATATTGTTCTAAATGTTAAATTTCTCTTGGATTTTGCTTGTATGTACTTAAAACTTGTGAGCTACTAATGCGCCGTTTATTTGTAGTCCTTGCCTTGAGGAACTTTTATTATCTGCCTTGTATGCCATGTGACTAGAGTTGTGCTGTAATTTCATGATAATATTCCTATGTGGAGATGCCAAATCCATTACCAGTCAATAATTCTTAGTTTCTTCTTTTTGTCCCTTAATTTACTTGCATTAACTATTGGTGCAAATGCAATTAGTCTTTGGTTCTTGCTGATACAAGTTTTAGGTGACTCAAAGGGTCATATGTGAGTTGTTAACTACATGAATGTCTCTCATATGTTTACCTGTAAACCATTGTGTGTAATCTTTCCACTAAACATAATTAGTTAGATAATGCAATACAGTCATAATTGAGTCCAAAGACTTGCAATAAGCAGAGTTATTCTGCTTTCTTTTGAGCAAGGATTGCTCCCATGTCATTAGAATACTACCTAATCCTGATGGTTTATTCTGTCAACTGTCATCAACCAATAAAGTTGCATTGCCCATTCCACAATCTGCCATGTCTTATAGAATTGTATTGCAATTATTAATTTGTACTAAAGTTTTCAACCGATGGTTAAACTCCTGCATTCTTATTATAATCTTTTGCACAATCTGCTGATGCAGAAGTGGGTAGTGGTCTGCTGATATATCTGTTTGGCTGACTAGATATGTATAGGACATGAAAATGTCTAAGTGGGTTGACACACACATTTTTAAAGATAAAGGGATTTCTTAATACCTTTACCTTTTGTGTAGTTATTCTTTCAAAGGAGTTATCAACTAGTTTTTGGTGTTGAGCACAGAAGCATGGCTAATACTATAGATCAATAGTTGGACTCTTTACACCAATTTGTTACATTCAGGTTGAATTAGTTTCAATTCAGCTGTAGTGTGACTGTAGTGTGAATGTCCTAAACCTTTTCCTGACTTAGCTTTATCATCGAGTATTAGCCATGTGGTATTTGATCTTCATAGTATATTACTATTGAGCATCATTTATCATTTTGCATGATATTTTTCACTAGAATCATGTATTCCCTCTTTGTAGACTAGGGTTTAGTGTAGGTAGTATGCCTTGCTTGGTGGAATAGGTAGTCCTTCACTATGTAGTATTGTTACTGGTTTCTTGGGGCATTCATAGATTACGAATGATGTCAAGATTGATTGTGATGGAAGAATTATTGGTGGATCTACGGTGAAAATTGATTCCTATGAAGGATGAAATAGAAAGGTAAAGTTTGAGAAACAATATAGATATATACAAATATTAAGGTTGAATGAAGACAATTGTTTGGTGGGATCACAGTTAAGTTATCAAGATGTTTTGCATATTACAATTATAAGATGATAAGAGATGGTGAGGGAGGTAAATTGGGGAATACAAAGAAAGGGTGCTGCAAGACCGTCCATGGAGCTGTGACAGATTATTGATGCTTTTGAGTTTGATAGGTGGGAACAAGTTTCTATGTCATTATGACTTGGGCATCATTTTGGGTGTAGATATATGATCTGTTGCAGTATTAATTTAATCAAATGGTATAAATTTTGCTGGGGGGATTGATACAAGATGTAGACAAAGTTGATATTGCAGAGGAATAAATTTTGATGAGGTAGGTATTCAGGCTCTGTTTGGTAAAGGTTTTTACTTTTCCCCCCTTTTTTTTTTTGCAAAAAAAAAGGAAAAGAATGGCAAAGGAAAGTAAAAAATAAAATTTGAATAGAAAATTAGATACAAATAGCAAAAAGAAAAAGCTTTATCAAACGGTGGCTCAGTGTTGGGAAGTAAATGAATAATGCAAACCCATTGATAAAGGGGGCAAAGATGTAGTGGGTGATAGATTTGTTTAGGTTATGGTATAAGCTTCTTTTCTTCCCCCTACTATTCTTGTCTTTTGGGGAACTTAGACAGTGTGAGAAAGTGTCATGTTGCCATATGAAGATGGCTTAGGGGTAAGGAAGGTTAAATTCTAGCTTTTTTCAATTTGATTAATTTGGACTTTCTAAATGTATATATTGAATAGCTAGATGTTCATATCGATAGATGAATGCTTCTGGAAATGGTAAGGATCATGGAGGTGGACGAGAGGAGAGTCATGAGAGTATGGTAGCAGTGGATGAGCAAGGGAGGGTAAATGCAAAATTTGGAGAGCAATGAAAAGTTGATATGAGTTAATTCTGATATGGAATCAACGAATCCTGAACACCAAGTTGTAGGTGGAGATTTGGGGCTGGTGTTGTATGCTTAGATAACTAATGACAAGATGATGGAAGAGATCAAGGGGATCACCTTTAGAAATGTTGAAACTGAATATATTAAGGACAGCTAAAGTTCTCCTGCATGAAAGCAATTTGGTTAGGGATTGCCATATGTAAAAAAAACAAGTTCAAAATTTGGAAATAAGATGAGATTTACATTATGGGAATATCAAGGGGAAAGCTAAGATCATTTGGATTAGGCTTATATGTTTAAAGGTGATTGGGGTTTAAAATATAATAAGAGTAATGAGTTGAACGGAAATGGTGCTAAAACGTCTAGTTTTAGTTGACAAATAGAAATGAAGATTCAAAGAGCTAGTGTCACGAATCCCAAATTTGTAAAGAGAAGGGAAAGGGGAGTTTGTAAATAATGGGTTTTCCTCCATGTAATAGGCATGTCTTTTGGATTGAAAACTCTGACCCGTGAAATTAGGAATAGGAAAAAAGTCAAAACCAAGATAAATATCAGAGTTTGTGACGAAGAGACATAAAATAGGAGAATAGATTCGTGACATTAAGGCATTTACAGTAATTGAGGTTGATGAGGAGCTTGTTGAGGAACCTGAGGAAATGTTAGAGATTGGAACTACATTATAGTTATGCTGTTAACAAGGTGCTTGGCATGGATCGTTGAAGGCTTGAGTGCATTCGTGCAATTAAGTCTCTTTAGTTTCTAAGATTATGCAAATAAAGAAATTTAACAAATCTAATATGAAAATGTAGTTTAGTACACAAAAAGATTACGATTTTTCAAAAAACCATAGTAAAATATACAAATAGACAGTTTTAACCGTAATCTATATAAAAATTGTAATATACCATAATATATGGAAAAAGACCGTAGTTTTATATACAAAAAGACTACGATTTTTTAGAAAACCATACTCTAATATACAAAAAAGTTACAATTTTAAAAAATTATAGTCTAATTATTTACATGTTAAACAAATAAATAAATAATATAAATGTTAAATAATAAATACATTAAATGTTAAATAAATAATTTCATATTTAATAAAAAATAAATATTTTATATGTTAAATAAATAATTTATATATTAAATAAATAAAAACACAAAATGTAGTTTAATACACAGAAGATTGATATTTCATAAAAATGTAGTCTAATATATAAAAATATTGATTCTTCATAAAAATGTAGTTTAGTATAAAAAAAAAACTATTGTTTTTTCAAAAATTGGTGTCTACATGCATAAAATCAAAATCTAATATATAAAAAGATTATAGTTTTTCATAAAAAGTTTACTCTGTATAAGATAGTGTAATATAAAATTATAGTCTAATATATAAAAAAACTATGATTTATCATTAAAAAATATAGTTGAATATTGTAAATACCTAATTTTATCCGAGTAAAATTTAACCGGTTGTGAAGATTTTAAAATTCAACTTTGTTCAAACCTTTGTTTAATTTTGATGAGTTCTTAAAATCGAATCTGGAATTAATTTGATCAAAATGTCATAAGGTCAAATTTGGTTAAATAGAGTTAAATTTAGTCAAAGTTGATAAACAAAAGTCAAATTGGGTCAAAGTCAAGTCAAATTTTCAAAATTCGCAATTAAATAGAGTCAATAAGGCTTGTAATTGAAATTGGTGATTTTAATACACTAAAAATTTTTATTACACTTCGGGGCAAAACTATCAAAATGTCTTTCAAGAGTATTTTTATAATTTAACTTTCTTGAAGTTGGTTTTTTGTGTAAATTTTCAGATCATGATTAAATATTATTTTATAATTTTTGATACATTGAAAACTTCGATCACACCTCGAAAGTTGTGAAATTATAAAAATACCTTTTAGGCATAATTTGATTTTTTAAGGTCGATTTTTCTCAAAACGCTCCAAAATATGTTTTGAAATTATTTCATGATTTTTTATGTAATAAAAATCTTGATCGCACCTTAGAAGGTGAGAAATTTCAAAAATACTCCAAAAGAGTATTTTCATAATTTGATTTTTTTTAGGTTAGTTTTTCACGAAAATTTTAAGAAAATAATTTCATATCTTTTTATGATTTTTGGTGCATTGAAATCACAAAAATGAAGAAGGGATTATGGTTTTTCAAGAAAATTGCATAAAATGGGCAAAATGGTCTTTTTACATTGTTCTAGTTGCATCAAAAGCCTTATTTTATGTTGGATTCATCATGAACCATTGACCATTAATATTTTAAAGGCCTAGATCCAAGGGTGAAAAGTGTTGCTTGGAAAATAAACCAAAGGAATAAGGTGAGCCATTAGATGAAAGTTTGATCAAAGGTTCTTATGCATTTGCATGGCTTTATATTCATCATTTAGGGCTAAGAATTAAGGGAGGAGACATCCAACGCAACAATTGGAAAAGGGAGGAAAAAGGGAAAAATTAGGAAAGGTTTTGGAAGGCATAAATCTATCTTTACTCTCATTCTTTTTCATAATAGTTTTAATGTTTTTCCATGTTAGTTTTCTTTGATTTTAGAATTTTTCAAAGAGGAACAACCCTTTCCATGGTTGTTTTCCTCCACAGCTCTAAGCTCGATCCAAAAATTCAACCAACTAATAATAATTTGGGTTTGAAGCAAAAAGATATCAAGCAAATAGCAAAATCCACCATTGATGCACCTCGGAGGGTAGGCCAAGCCTCTATTCCTCCATTACAAACCTCTTTTAGGTTGTTTTTTTTTATGTTTTTCATGTTTTAAATAATGAATTTGGATGATTAGAATTATTTGCATGATTGTTGGTTGTTTTAGTAGCTTGCATGATGTGTTTGGCTAGTATTTATGTTTTTATGGTTTCCTTTTTTAGTAGTTTACTACTTGATTGATGAAAATCTTTTTATGATAAAATGCCCTTCATAAGTGAGTTTTCTAAGTGTTTGATACATGTTCTACCTAAATAAGTGATTGTGTAATTATGGAAATGCCATGGTAGTATTCGGCCAAGCATTCCCCATTACTTGGCCTACATTTCCAAGCTTGTTTTCATGGCCAAATGTTGACTATTTCATGTTTGGTTGCTTAGGTTCTTGATAGCCTCTTTATGTTTGCAACTTGTTTGATAGAATCCTTAATGGAAAAAAGTGTTGAATTAGTGAATTTTTAGGTGAATTTTATTTTGTTTACATGTGTTTGATTCAAAACAAAAATGGTGGAGACATGTCTTTAAGGTTTGGCCAAAATAATTTTGCATTAAAAATGGCTTTGGAGTTTTAGCCAAGCATTTGATCATGGTTTGACCGAAACCCCTAGGCCCTAAACCCTTGGTGTTTGATCCATTTTACTATGTTTGTTGCATGCATGTTTAGTTTGTGATATAAATATGTCTAATTCATAGTTTCCATATTCATCCATATTTCATGCATTAAGGGTTGCATTTTTTTCAATGGCATTTTAGTTATTTTGTTACATGCATTCCTCATACAAACAATAAACCCCAAACCCTAAATCACCGTACGAACTCTTAAACCACCATGTAAACCCTAAATCACTATGTAAACCCTAAACTCCAAACCACCATGCGAACCTCTAAACCACCATGCAAATCATAAACTCCAAACCACCATGTAAACCACTAAACCACCATACAAATCCCAAACCACCATGCAAACCACAAACCACCATATGAACCCTTAAACCACCATACAAATCCCAAACCTCCATGCAAACCCCAAACTTCAAACCACCATACAGACCCCTAAACCATCGTACAAACCTAAACCCTAAATTTAAATCCTAAACTTTAAACTTAAAACTTAAACCTTAAATTCTAATCCTAAATCTTAACCATAATCTTAAACTCTAACCCTAAACTCTAAATCCTAACTCTAACCTTAAACTTAATTCTTAACTTAAACCCTAAAGTTACCTTAAATCCTAAATCTAACCCCAAATCTTAAGTTAAACCTTAAACTAAGCCCAAACCCTAAACCAAATCCCAAACCTTAAATCAAACCTCAAACCCACTTTAAACCCTAAAATTGAACCAAACTAATCTCAAACCTTAAACTAAATCCAAAACTATAACTTAGACCCTAAACAAACCCCAAACCCTAAACCAACCTTAAACCCAAACCCAAATCAACCTTAAACACTAAGAATCCAAATCAATTTCCAAACCCTAAAACCAACACTTGATCCTCTTCATACCTTGCATTTGTTTTATAAATGAGGTTTTTCAAGAAAAATATTTTAAAATAAGATAATATCTTAAGTAAAAATAACCTTTAAGATTTGGTCTAAATATAGAGGGAGTCTCAATGATTATCATTTATGCGAGGTATTATTTCGATTTTTATGGGGCAATTTGAAAACTCCTAAAGTTAGAGGCATTTTTTAAGTTTTACTTGAATATAAGGGAGTAAAGGAAATGTCTTGATACTTAGGATTTTTCATCTTGATCCAAAAATATTTTTTTTTAAAAAAAAAATTAAAACGATTTGTTTTCAAAGAAAATTAAAAAAAAAATTTCAATTTTTGGAATAAACAAGTAACTGAAAAGAATTCATTTATAAACATTATAAATAGGATCATTTGTAACAAAATTTAAGGATAGCATGCAACTAATTGATATCATTTTCAATGGATGTCATAGAGGTGCTAATCTTTTCTAATAGGTAACAACTCTCAGATTTAACTCTAATTTTGCACACCGTAAATATTCTTTTAATAAACTTTAAACTTGTTTTAAATGCTTTATTAAGATAAAATTTTTGGGTGACCAATCACACCTTAAAAAAGATTGGTAGTGACTTTTCGGTTTTGATTTTATTGAAAATACTTTTTACCTATTTTTCCCTACATTCGGTGGTCAAGTTGCTTAACTTATATGTCATGATAGCTTAGTGACTGAGGGGACATATTTTTAGAAAGTCAAACCAAAAATTGATTACATGTCATCCTAAATTTTGGTTTGATGGTTCCAATTGGTGTTTAATTTTAATTTCTTGATTCTAATATTCTTGTTTTCTTAAAAAGTGAAAAAATTGGAAAAAAATAAAAAATTGAAAAAAATGGAAAAATGGAAAAAAATGTTTTGATTTTAATTTCTTTGTTTTCAAAATTTTAGAAAACATGTGTGTTTTACATTTTATACATATTTTAATAATGTCATTCATTTTAATTTGTTGTTATTTATATCATTTTTACTAATTATAGGCACTTAAGATAGGGTATTTTAGGAAAATGTGAAAGGTTTATATGTTCATTTGCACACACTCATATCTACATTATATGCATGAGCTTTATACCCAAGTTCTAACCATTTTTAGGAGGAAGTAAAATAGCTACACTCTTGTGAGGTGTAAACCTTTGCAGTGACTAGTGAAACATTCTTATTCAGATTGAAGCCTTTTCACTCGTAACCTGTAATGGGTAAGAATTAAGGTACCTCATTGGTCTGTGATGGATGATGATGTGAGTAACAATTTGAGAACCTTTAGATGCTTAATTCTCAGCCCAGCATAGTGAGCCTAGGAAGCTAGCCTTAAGTAAAGCTATGCCACACCCTCTCTGTAGAAATTATTTTAAATAAGTCACATGAAGGGACATTCTCTCTATTTAGGGGTAATAATTTTATCGATAAAACTAAAATTTTGAAAAGAGAATAAATAAATAATATAAGAGAAACATTCTTTCAAGAAATTTTCTTTTAACATACAATTCAATTAAGTTGCTATTCATTTAAAATTTGCATTTTCAAGAAAATTTTAATAAAAAAAAAAGAAAAAAATGATTTTTTTAGTATTATCCAACAAACACAAAAAAAAAAAAAAAGTAAAAGG